CTTCAAATTTTATTACATAATTACGCAAATTATTAAAAAACTCATTTATTTTTCATTTAAAAAAAATTCCGTTTTTACCCAACAAAATTAACAACAAGGATATTATTTAAATTTATGTTTTACGCAGAGTATTCTATCGTTGGCTCTTGCAATAGTTCAAGTACACCAGATGGTAGACTTTTTTTTTTGTTATGTATCTTCTTTCTTAATGTGTAAATTAAAGGATTAGATGCACATAAAAGGCGGTGAAAAAGGTCTATATTGTTTTTTTTCCGATCGCATTTTCTTGTAAAATTTTCACGAAAAATCTTAAAAACCTTATTGGTAGCCTCTTGAGCCTCTTCAGAAAACATACCTAATGGAAAAGTAAATAGTTCAATGACTTCATAGCCATGAATCAAAATCTTATGAAGTGTTTAAGTCATAGGGTACCAAGGGTACAGGAATACATAGAGCGAAGCAGTTTCCCAACAGAATGTTTTAAATTTGGATGAGTTAATTTCATAACCACTTGATATTGTGGCCAGAATAATATGAAGCCTTTTCATAAGATTTACGTCGATGTTCATTATACTACCTGAGACATCGTATTGCTGAAAAAATCGCCTAGCTGTGTTGCCATCGTTTGATGTACCTGCCCCACCTATTCTCGGTTGTTCTATGACAAGACCTATCCTTGTTCGAAATTCAGCACAGACTTCAAACTTTCTCAGTTTAACAGTATTTTTTTTGTCTTGATTTCTAGCCTGCCACTTCATAATCGGCATCTTATATGAAATATGGAGCATACATTCTAAAAACCTTATCCAAGCATGCAAAGTTGAAACGCCATGTTTTATATTGCCTTCTAAAGTTTTTTTTTGAACAACTAAAGATAAATTGTTCATTTCGATTGGAGATGCACCACACACTGAACAGCATTGGTATGAGTTGGTTGCTGTGGAAATAATAGTTTGAATTTTTCCATCTATCATTGTTATATTTACAATATGTTGTATTTCAACTTCCTTTGTTGTACCGTCCTCCAATAAAACAGGTACAACAGATAATGTTATCTCTTTAATAAAAGCCATAATTGACTCATACTCTGCAAGAATTACTTCATTTGATTCTTTTCTATATTTAAATCTCAGAGGACTGCAGTAATTAGTTGACGATGGTTTCGGATTTCTCCAAACAACCTGTTTTTTGTCATCTTTGAAACAATATAGTTCTAGAGGAACCAAGCAAGTTATGTGATTCATCTGTATGAAGTTCGCTAGAAACATCTGACCAATTTTTATACCACAAGATCAATGTCATATTAGTATTCAATTATATATCATTTTAAGTGGTTGATACAGGTTGATCCGATGGTTTTAAATAATATTTTTGAAAAAAATAAAAACTTATAACTCAAAATTATTGATGTTTGCATTGTTGAAAATATTTATATAAAACGCAAAAAATATTTTTTTTTATGTGATTTTATTAACATAATACTATATAAGTCATTTATAAGTTAAAAAATAAACTTAAACTTCTTTAAAATAAGAAAGTTTTCCAAAGATGTAAAAAAATAAAATTTTCACACTTTTTTGTTGTTATTGATAAAAAGTATTAAGGAAATATTTAAACAACAAATATGGCGTTTTATTGAAAAATTATTTTTTAATAAAATATAATTTCTGGCTTATTAATATATTAAGCAAAATTTGCCTTTTTCAAAATTTAAAAATCTAAAAACTTTTTTGTATGGTTTTGCCGGCTTCTGACCCACTGTGCAATCCGATCAACAATGACTTTGAAGAGTAGGCGAATCGAGGATTTTTACCAGCCGAAACTTATCGTATTAAGTGTTAGCCTAACGTGAGTACATCTATTTCCGTTACACAAACTCTACTGTAGTTAAAAAATCCGTTAAAAAAAATCGAAAACAACACCTAATATTTAGCCTTAAAATTTACTATGTAACTTTTTTTTTTTACTTACAGACAGGAGTCAAATGATGCTAATACCCCACAGATGGAGGCATCCTCCAGTCACAGTCAGAAAAATACAAAAATCTGTACTAATCAAGAAAGTGAAATAAGTCAGCAAAATATTATTACCAGTCAGTTAAGATTAAATACAAATAAAGAGCCGATGACGATAACTGGTGCACAAGCCTCACAGTCAGATTCAGTAACCTCTACATCATACTGTAATGCCCTATATTTCAATTCAAATATAACCCAGGCCTACCAACCAGATAGTGAATGTATACTCAAAATGACAAAAAACAAATTGGAAACAAAAAAGAGTTTAAAATTTTTCAAAAGCCATGGTACACTAAATGGTCGTGGCTAACACTCTGCGTAACAAGGTATAAAGTATTTTGCTTCTATTGTCAATTTATTGAAAGTATCAACAAACCTGACTTAAGCAAAAGAAAGGAACCTGCCTTTGTGACAACAAGATTCGACAATTGGAAGAAGGCAGTTACTAAATTTAATGAGCACGAACCAAGTGATTCCCATAGGAAAGCCTTAGAAAAGTACCAGCTTATAAATCAAATGGCAAAAAAATGAGTGTATAGAACTTTTTGGCCGAGCGGTGATTTTAAAGTTGTTATCACATATCCAGAATTCGAAATACTTCGCCTTTATAGGGGATGAATTCAGAGACATTTCAAACAAAGAGCAGCTATCAATTTGTATACGTTGGGTTAATGAAAATTATAATGTGCACGAGGACTTCCTTGGTCTATATAAACTAGAGCAATTAGATGCCGACTCTTAAACAAAAACTGTTAAAGGTGTTCTACTCCAATTTTAATTAAGTCTAGAAAACTGCCGTGGCCAAGCTTATGATGGAGCAGCAAATATGACAGGACATTTACGTGACCTAGCGGCTCAATTGAAAGAAGAAAGCAACGCAGCAATTTCTGTCTATTGCTTTGCACATTGTTTAAACTTGACTGTACAAGACAATGCACTTTGGTCCGGGACAGTCTTTCACTTGTATCCGAAATTGCTAACATGATAAAGAATTCACCTAAGAAATTTACTGTCTTTGATAAAATCAGGCAGCAGATGTCGTTTGATAACAATGACAGAGGTCTTATTAAGAACCTGAAGCCATTGTGTCCTACTCGCTGGGCTGTTCGTTCTAGTGCCTTTGAAGCACTGTTAGAAAAAACGAATTACAAGTCTGTTATAAATGCAATGACAGAAATTGGAGAATTGGTATCAGATGACTCTGGGTCCAAAGCGAGGGGAATATCGCAACAGCTTCAAAAATTTGAAATATATTTTAGCATAAAAATGTGTTTTCTTTTTTTTAATGCAACAGAGCAGGCTTCAGGTACGTTGCAAACAAAAGAATTGTCTTTAACTGAAGCTATGAAGTGTGTCACAGTCACCAAACAGTATTTGCAAAGATTAAGAGATTGTTTAATCAATTCTACAAGGAAGTAAAATCTGAAGCTGATGATTTGGAAGTAAGTGAGCCATCAACTCCACGGAATCGAAAACAACCACGTTTTCAATTTTCACAGATGTTTTTGATTATTTCAGACAAAATTTTTTATGAATTTGTTGACCTCTTGATTGGTGAACTTGATTTGAGGCTTCAGCAGCCATCTGTAAAAAACGCTATTAATATGGAAACGCTTTTATTGAACTCGGCAAACTTAGAGTCAGAAACTATCAAGGTAGATCCATCACTGTCAAAAATGTACTCTGACATTGACTGGACAAGGTTAACATGGCAACTTCACATGCTACCTGAATTAATCAAACAGAGCAAAAGCAACAAAGTAAAGCCAATTACTAAGATAACAACCATCTCAACATTAGTTGAAATATTTGCCGAAAATGATGCATCTAAAATGTTTGATGAAGTGTCTAAAGTTCTAAAAGTCTTTCTTACTATACCGGTCAGTACAGCAACAGCAGAAAGATTTTTTTCCATTCTAAGGAGGCTAAAAACATATCTCCGTTCTACTATGAATCAAAAAAGATTAAACAGCACCATTCTGAGTCATATTCATAAAGATATTTTGGAAGAAGTTGTCATTAACACTATTTATAAAGAATTTGTGCTGGCAAATGATGAGCGTCAACGATATTTTGGAAAACCATAGAGTTTGTTTCATATGTTATGAACTTAATAAATTATGTTATACTTAATGTATTACTTTATAATTATATTATTGTAATATTTAATTATGTTGTGCTTAGTTTATTACATTATTAATGTAAAACTGTCTTAACAATTATCAAAAGCTATTAAATATTTGTTGAAGGTAAAATATATAAATCAATAGGAGCGCCAAGAGTAATAACATTGCGTGTGATAAATAATTTAATAAATAGATCATTTTTATTTATTTTCTTGTTCAATACAAAATTGAGAAACTTTTTCCTCTTTAACATATGTTTTCAGACCCCCCCCCCCAACTTTCACAACCTTTTTTTTTTTTAAGTTGATTTAGGTGCCCCAAAATAGGAAGTTCACGCCTCCTTCCCAACCGATGTCGCAAAACTGGGGTTTGAACAACGGATCTTAAGTTTCTGAGGCAAGTGCGTTACCACTGCGCCACGGCTGCACGTTCATACGCCACTGATTATTATTATTTTTACTACTACTACTACTACTATTATTATTATTATTATTATTATTATTATTATTATTATTATTATTATTATTATTATTATTATTATTATTATTATTGTTAATATTTTATTAATCACCCTCTGTAAAATATATTTACAAGGTAAATCCACAAACTAAGAAAAAGAGATAAAAAAAGTATTATTTAAGAATGTTTTCTTCAAGTGTCTTTTTAAAAGCTGTTCTTTAACATTTCAACATAGAACCGCGTGTACCAAAATGTGAAGAGTAGCTTCAGGAATTACATTCTCTTATTGTCATTCTAAGAAACAACAAAACAAACATAAAACAAAACAACAACAACAAAAAAAAACAAAAAAAAAAATCAGGAAAATCTTTCGAAAAGCCCGATACATTTCCGGCTCCATAATAATGATAACCGACTGCGCTTAGAAATATTATTATTGTTATGCATCGTTATCGACTCAATAGTTCTTGCTTTTAAAACGTTTATAATGCATGATATACAAGATCATCACAATGATGATGAACAGCTACCAAAAATGGATGAACTTATGTCAAAAATGATGCATCTATCAGCTCATATAAAAAATAAATCGGAGTCAACGTCAAGTACCGAAGGAACGTCAGCTAAACATAAATTAAGTATGATTTTTTTTATTAATGCAGTGAAGTAGTTTTAACTTTACTCTACTACTTTTTTTTAATTTTTGATACAAGATATCCTGATAAGTTGAATATTTTTTATTAATTTAAATCTAATTGTAATACAATTTATTAATTTAAATCTAATTGTAATACATTTTTAAATGTGAAGTGTAACTTTTGAATGACAAACAATACATTTCTCTATAAATTTAAAAAAATCTCAAAAGATTAGAAACTTTGTAAAACTTGTGAAAGAATTGTTACATTTTTATTCCATAATTTCAATATTTCTGTTTTTGAAATCCTTGTTTATTTGACTGTATATCAAATACAACATAATTATTTAAACACCAATTAAAAAAAAAAGGCATAGTATATCAAAAATATATACTATGCCTTTTTTGTATTATAAAGAAATTTTATTCTAAAAAATGTAAATTGTAACAAAGATACTCCAAATTTTTAAAGTTATTTGAAACATATTTGCTAAATCATTTTTATGTTCACACAAAAGTAGGTTTTTGTAATTCTAATTTTGGAGACATGGAATTCAAATATTTTGTTATAATTTTCTGTAATTAGTTGATTTTATATTGATTTCTGTATGTTACAACACATCCATTAGTTGTCTCTTTATTCATAACAAATGATTATTTTTTAAAAATGATTAATTTTTAAAAATGATAAATTTTTGAAAATTAAAAAAATGTTTTAAATAATATATTTTTATATGAGTAAAATTAAAGTTTTCTTTTAAAATTAAAACAATCACAATTTTATATCTAAAGTATTAAAATATTTTTAACAAAATAAATTATTCCTTGTTTTTGAAGAAAGACAGTTTTTTAATTTCTATATTTCTCAGGTGAAGTTAGAATAGAATCTGTATAGTCAGTGATAGGAGAGGAGCTTGTAGGTGCTAAATATTCTAATAAGACTTTTGTTTTCATTATATCTTAATCTATAATATGTATAATGACGATTGGCTGAGTTCATAAATCAGTGTTATAGTTTACTTCATAAATCAGTGTTAGAGTTTTATTTTTCAAGTTTATTGTCCATGGCTCTACATATATCTAGTTTAGATGAGTTTTCATAAAACTGTTTTTAGTATAGCATTTAGTATAGCATGGAGGATCAATTTTTTACAGCAGCTTTTTCTTGGCTTTGCAGATTAGGACTAGTATTTTTATTTCTACTGCAAAGAAGAAATAAAATTTAATGTTTACAATCCCCTCACCATTAAATAAATCGGGATTAATATATCCTTGTTTTTTCACAAATAGAAAATGAGAATATTCATCAATTAAAGTTAAAAACTAGTTTTTAATTATTTTGAAAGTGAAAAAAAGAAAGTGGTCTTAAAATATAATTTCAGACATTCTACTGGTTATATTGTTTTTATTATTTTGGAATTTTTTGGTTTGTAAAAATTAAAAAGAAACTGGTAGGTATATTTAGTTGTTTTTTTTTTTTTGTAAATGCTCTATAACAAAGCAGCCCAATATTCTAATGACAGATTTTTTTATTTTTGATATATGGTAGATATATATAAGAGTAATTTTATCAAAAACGTAAGGATCCATTTTGAGTTGTAGGAAAATAGTCCAATAAGACACATTGTAGATTTTGCATCTTATTATTTATTATTTACACATTTGGGATCTGGTTTGAGTTTTCTTTCTTTTAATTTAAATTTTATTTAAATTGAAATTTGATTTTGAATATTTGATTTTAATTACTGAGACTTAATTAGATTTATTGAGATCTTTTATAAGCTCAAATGCCCCCTCCAAGCAATCAGAGAGTGTCGGCTTCTTATCAAGACAAGAATAAATGGTAGTATCATCAGCAAACAATGCCACCTTACATGTGAGAATTTTTGGAAAATTGTTAATGTAAGTTAAAAAGAGAATAGGACCAAGGATAGAACCTTAAGGAACCCCTGAATTTACTGAATATGAAGATGAGTGTTGGCTATAAAGAACAACTTTAACACCATGATTGTTAAAGAAGGATTCATATAAAGATGTTACCTGATACACCTTTAAGAGAGAATTTATGGAGAAGACCAGCATGCCAAACCTTATCAAAAGCTTTAGAAATGTTGAGAACAATAGCCTTAACCTCTCCGCATTTATCTAATGCAGGATAAAACCTATCATTTATTACTTTTAGCAAATTAGCTCGAAATCCATATTGATGATCAGAGAGTATGTTATTAGATTCAAGATAAGAGATTAAGTGCTTGTTAATTAAAGACTCAAAAATCTTGCTTATAATAGGAAGAATACTAGTCTTAGTTAGGCGAATCAGATCGCTCTTCAGGATTTTTGAAAATAGGGATAACAAATGCCACTTTCCAGCAGGCATAAAAGACAAAAACAATACTAACAAGTTAACTACATGTAATCAACAAGTCGCTGATGTGTTTCACCAACACCTTGGAAGCGTCTTTACAAGTGATAAAAATTATTCTCCCTTTATTAATAGTTATCTTAGTTATTCAATAGGTCTTGTAGCTGTAAATTTTATACCAGAAGCAGTTTATAAATTTTTAACGGAAATTAAAGCCAGCACATTGTGCGTTTCTAATGGCATACCCAATATACTTCTGAAAAAGTTAGCTTATTTGTTGTGTATTCTATATTCATTTATGTTGTTGTGTATTATATATTAGCTTTAAATTAAGTTTTTTGACTAATCAATAGCGCTAAGTGTTAGTATCTCCAACTTTTTAAAAAGGAGTTACTATTTCCCAATAATTTTCAACCTATCACTAACATGCACTTAATGTTGTGTCCTGGAAAGAATGGTTAATGCTTATGTTATAGAGTATCTAAATCATCAATGCATAATAAATAGTCAACATGTTTTTTCAACAAAAAAAACAACATGTTAATTAGTTTTTCCAGTTTTCCAGAAGTTTTTTCCATCTGTACAAATCTTTTAGAATCTGTAAATGATTGAAGTAAGTTGTTGTATATATCGATTTCCAATTTTTGTAATACTAAGACAATTTAATTAAAGTTTCCCAATATTTTGTAGAACTATAAAAATAAATGTTCCCAATATCGCAGAAACGCGGTAAAAAAAAAATTCCTGGCTAACACCCTGTATATATATATATATATATATATATATATATATATATATATATATATATATATATATATATATATATATATATATATATATATATATATATATATATATATATATATATATATATATATATATATATGTATATATATATGTATGTATATATATATATATATATATATATATATATATATATATATATATATATATATATACATATATAATACATATATTATATATATATATATGTATGTATATATATGTATATATATGTATGTATATGTATATATATATATGTATATGTAGGTATGTATATATATATATATATATATATTTATATATATATATATATATATATATATATATATATACACACACATATATATATATATATATATATATTTATATATATATATATATATATATATATATATATATATATATATATATATATATATATATATATATACATATTTATATATATATATACATTATTTGAAAAAATTCTTTTTAGACTCCAAACTTCACAATAAATTTAATCTTTATTTCTTATTCCACTTGTCAATTTTCTTAAAACTATTTGAAGTTTCAAATATAAAATTTCTTAAAATAGTTTAAAAACACTCATAATTTACATTGTGTTCCACTAAAGTATCTTAAATCAAAAGTAAAAAAGAAATAAAACATTGAGAAAATAAAAAAAAAGAAATAAAATATTGAGAAAATAAAAAAAAAAAAAAAAAACATTGAGAAAAGAAATTAAACATGTTTACTTGATAGAAAAAAAAAAAAGTATATCAAGAGCATAAAATGTCTTTTTTTTTGTGCCCAAATCAAGGTTTCAGTATTATTATTAGATAGAAAATAAAGCAAATAGTTTATTACATGTCCACTAATTAAATAAAGAAGACCATCTGGTTGCTTGTGCAGCTAATAAAGATCGAGCTGCTTGCAAAAAAACAGAAAATTTTTTCGTTTTTTTCCCTAATATTTTAGCAGGCAATTATCACTATGTATGGTTTGCGAAGAACCGTAGAGCATAGAACTGTAAACAAACCCATTATAGACCGTAGTACCCATTTCAGTAACAATACAATCTTTAATATATTTTTTTGCAGAATTTTGTTGTAAAATTAAATTTTTTTGATATTCTTTTTCCTTCTTTCTTTGATTAAACATTTCTGTAAATATTTTACTTGTAATTGTAAATAATAATAGTTGTAATAATTATTATTAAGTCAATCTTATTTACCCTTAAACTGGTTTTACAATCCCTGTTGTATAGTACACAATAAAAATTAAACAGGTAACATAAACTTTCATTTAAAAGCTTTTAAATTTATTTTTTAGATGTTTATTACTAATTAAAGTTTAGACAAAATTGAAGAAAACTCACCAACAATTAATCTCTTTAAAGATTTTAATGAAGCTGTCCTGGGCTTCATACCATAAATCAACATGTTGACATATATAAGCATTTATCCACTGGCCTAGTGGAAGTGGCTTGGGATTTAATTTTTTTTTCTTTTTCTTATGACTTAATGCAAAAGTAGCATGTAATTTTCGATTAAATATCTAAATGCCAGGAATTCAATCACTGTATTTTGCATTATCCTCTCCTGTAGTCAAATAAAAGATAAGCAATGTCATTTTAGCTTCCATTCTGTTAAAATTACATGATGAAAACCAAAATTTTGCTATCATTTGCAGCTTTCAAAGGTGATGGAACATTTACAACCTAAAATTTCTGCAAGTACTACTGTTTTAAATTTACTTTCTAGCATTGTTTTTAATTCAACTATCTTATGTAAAAGCATAGATGGATGGGAAGGTTTATAATTTTTATTGAACACAATTTTACCGAATTCTGCACATGTAAAGTGGCTTTGTACATT